AAATATTTATGAAATAAATATGCTTTCCCTTTATAGATAAAACCGAAGTAAACATGCTTTCCTTAAAAATTTGTGTTGGAGGAAAACTTGGTGTTATGTAAATTATAACATGAGATTGTAGCTAGGGAACTAGGGCTACATACTTGTTTACTGCTTGTTTAAATAGGTACAGAAAAGCATACAAAGTTTATCTGTCAATGGGAAGGGATGCCATCCCATTCATGGAGGACTTTCAAAGGGACACATGTTTGCTTACCTTGTACGCAAGGAAAAACCATAAACACTCGTTCTCAGATCTTCTAACCTATGTCGAACTAGCACCGTTCATCAATCTTATACTTTCTGGCAACTAATGGGTTATGTGCTTTTTTTCATTCTATTTAAATTCTCTTAATTTACATTTCCTTTTAATCGGTATTTATCTGATTATTTGTCCCAAACACAGACACACACAAAATAAATAAATAAATAAATCTGAAGGCGTTCAGAATTTAAATTGCTAGATGGCTAAGAAAATAAAATTTATCACATTTAAAGCATCGCAGTTGGCATGCTCTCTACATGATTTTTTTTTAAAAAAAAGAGAGATCGTAATATTTTAGCTATATTTATTGAGGTAACTGAAATTTGAAATTAATGTAAAAAACAATCACTTAAAATTATTTTACTGTGTTTCCTTGGTCTGAAACGAAAGGGCCTTTTTCTTCTTTAGTGACATTAAGCTTGATAGCTAGAGGGAAAGTGGGATTGGATACGGAGAGCTATTCAAAGCTGTAATAGAAACAAAAGCTTTAAGACTTGAAAGTGTGCCCTAACCTTCAAAAGTATTTTTTCGCTACTTGTTAGCTGAGGAAGGGTGATTTTTCCTGATCTTACTTCTAAATGAAAAATCGTAGATTTTCTGTTCATTTCTTTTGTTAATCACATGAATATTTTGGGAAGATGGCAAGCAATATTTTAAAAACTTAAGCCTTATCTATTGAAATTTAATTAGTGCTTTTTTTTTAAGTATAGGTAGTGGTGAAGGGCACCCCCCCTGGCTACGTGCGTGATACATGTTACATTTGATAGTCATTATATATATGTAATGATTTAATGATCTTCAACGGGATAATTATTTAGCCTATAAGAAATAATTTTTTGCGGTACTGTGTCCTTCCATAAAAGATACTTTAAGGTGATTTCAAAAGAATTGGAAAAGTCATTTAGCTATAATTCATAATGCAAATATTTTATTAACATTTTGCTATACTATTGAACTTTGATGAGCTCAAATGGAAAGGACATGAAAATTATTTTGATTAATAGAAAACTGTGTAATTTTGCCTGTAAAGGCATCCATATCAAATCTGATCTTTTTAAAATACTTTTTAAATCTATTTAATTATTAAATACTTCAGTGGATAGTCATCCAGTGTAAAATTTCTTTTGACTCAAACTCAGATATCTACTTATGCAACAAAGCAATTCACTTTGTTGCATTAGTAAAAAAAGTTTCCAGAAAATCAAGTTTGATGTAATAGTTTATCTTCTGTGTTTTTCTGATTTCATCCTTTCCCTTTCCAATTGTGATTTGTTTCAGGCACTCAGAAATCAGCATTTTACAGGCTGGCTGCTTGGTCATTTTCATGGTTCTTCCCATGTGTAATGTAATGTGTATATGAGCCAATTTCTCTTAGAAGTCCTCCGTGAAGGCACTTTTAGACAGATAGCCTTTCCTTTGCCATAATCAAATAAACAAGAAAGTAGCACTATTGATCCTCAGATCAAAGAAAGAGATTCATGCTCTACTCAGTTGAAAATATACATTTAAAAATTATGAACCAAGGGTATTCACAAGCATGAGAATTACGTTGAAATATACCGTAAATGTCATTTTTATCAAAATTGTAGCTTATGGCCACACTGAGAGGGACTTTTTTTTTTTGTTTGTGTAAATATACTTCAGTGGATTGTCATCCAGTGTAAAATTTCTTTTGACTCAGGCTGTATACTTTCTTGGAGTGATATGTCCAGTTAAAGAGTGTTCCAATATCCTGTTCCTTTTTGTTGGTTTACTGAGGGTAAAGACATTTTTGGTTGGTTCATTTAAATGTTAAATCTCTTGAATAATTAAAGGAACTTCTTCTCATCATTGGTATTAATTTTAGCAAGTAGATAGCAAATGCAATAATTTCTTTTTTCTGTATTATATGGAATAACTTTGTTTTGGAGTTTTTTTTTTACATTGGCTTCTGAATTTAAAAAAGGCTTCAGAATGATAGCATTCCATGTTTGAAAAGCTTATACTAATTTTCAATCAGTTGAATCTTCAAGAAGAAAGAAGGAAAAAAGAAACTAGCAATGTCTTATCATTTTTCACCACTGCAACCTAATCAACTGTTGGCCATATATAGTTATAAAAATATAGTATACATATATTATATACATTCAAAATGAGTTTTGTCTCAAAGAGAAATACTGATGAAAACATTTTTAACAATTTAAAGCCATTAATGTGGAAAAAAGCATTAAGAAATGGAATTGTTATTTTATCTCTGAGAAAGGCCATAAAGACATGGACCTTATAAGAAATAGACTAACCCAAACGGGTTTTCTCCCTCGTCTGAGGCGTTCCCGGCTGTCACCTTGATCACATCCAGAGGAGTAGGGACGACTTGCAGAAATTTAACATTGGTTGCCTATTGCAGCGGGTATAATTGTCAAGAAAAAGCTCGTTGTAGTGCCTCATTTCACAAATTAGAATTTCTACATATTTTTATTTTTGAAATTGAGATTGATTTTTAAAAATTTAGCATATTTATCAAGCATAATTAACATTCCAGATAATTATAAAGCTGTTGCGTGCTTTCAGGACTGGATATTTTTTTAGCTTTTCCTATGCTGTAAGGAAATTTGTAACTACTTCTTTTAGAAAATAATATTTTAAATCTGAACTAATAGAAAATTTCAAACAAGCAATTTTCTCTTGCAATTTTTATGCTTTTTATTGGTGTAAATAAGTAAAAAATACTAAAATATTTAAAAATGAATTTTTGAAAGTTTTGTTTAAAATTCTAAATTGTGCTGCTTTTTTAAAATTATAGATGAGTATTATAGCACAATTTCTATAAAGGAATTTTATTTCAATTATATTTCATAATACATCATAGTGATAAACACATTTGACTCCTTAAAAATGTTTATACATTTAATTCTAATATTAAAATTGTATTTAACCGTAATAATTAATTTTGCTTGTATTTTACAGTGATTATTTTTTAAAATTAATTTTTAGTTCTGCATAAGATTTTTTTTTATTTACTGTTAATTTAATTTATTAGCCCAAAGGGGCGGTAGTCTAGAGAGGCTGTTAATTTAATTTAGCGGCATTTTGCGCTGTTTTACTATAAATGTCTGTGTCTCCTTGCAAATTGTTGTTACCAAATATTATCGCCCTGTATTATATGTAAGGAAATTAAATAATGAAGAATCTGCATGAATACATGTATGTTTCTCGCACTGTGACAAAAATGACAGTACCTAGAGCCATCAAATTTTGAATAATGTATTCCTCCACCCGAACATAGGCATCTGGAAGGCTGAATTTTGAATTTGTTTTAATCTATTTCATATTTTGTAAAACTTTAATGAAATTTTGATTAACAAACTCAACGAGTTCAGAGCGAGCACTATACGGAAAATAACAGTTTTATCTCCAGTGCAGAAATTCTAAAGGTATGCTGTTTTCAAATGTATGTGGTTTACGGGCGAAGAATATGATATTCAATAAATATAGGTAACACACAAAACTTTAAAGTAAGAATGCTTCTAAATTTTATTTTATCTTTTTTTTCCTTCATTATGCTCAGAAAATTTTATGCTCCGAATTTTATGAATTATTAAAATAACTAGTCCACTTTAATGTTAATAATTTAATAATTTAATAATCATATAATCAAATAAATATGATCGTTTTGTAATGTTATTATAGTTTGGAAAATCACTGCGTGAAAATGTTCATTAAATGTTAAAAAAAAATTATCAGATCTTGTTTAATTTTACCTTATTTATTTCAAAGCATTGCATACTCTCAGACTTATTTAATTTTACTTTATTTTTACGCAAAATTAAGTTCATAAATTTTGTGCTTAGAGTTTTTACCGTTTTACCAAAGTAAAGATGTTTGTACAAGAATTACTTGTGAAAAAAATGCCTGAAATGCAGTAAAAAGTGCTTTAATGAGATATATTAAATCCTATTTGGAAGAAACTGTGGCTTTCATAATCTCATCACTATACAACGGATCACATTTAATAATTAAAAATAGTTATGTGAGACAAACGCCATAGGTTTCAGTGTTAAAGTAAACCAGATCGTCCCTACTCTTTCTTGCCGACATGTCTGCGACACGGGCCCCGCCCACTGGGTTAGTCTATCTCTTATAAGGTCCATGCATAAAGATTGCTTTGGTAGTATTTTATGAGGTAACTTATTAAATTAATGTCATTAAATAGTCATTTGTATATTGTTTATACTAAATCAGAATGCCAATAAAAGACAGCATTTAGTGAGTAGTTGAAGATTGTGTGAGTTCATATATCAGATACAAAAGAAAAGAACCTGTATGGGAGAAAGAAAAAGACCTTAAGACTAACTGAGACTTTGACATTGTAGAAATTTAATGCTGATACTTTTTACATAAATAAATGTAAAATGATTCACGATGCATTTTATTAAATTATTATGTATAGCCTACTATTAATAACAAAATAGTAATAATAAATGAAATAACAACTAACCAAATAAACAGACACATAATAACTAAGTGTTCCCCCTTTCACTAATTGTATTTTGTATTTTTTACATAAGCATTTTTATTACATATTTTTACATAAGATTATTAATTAGGAAGCATTTTTAATATGGGTAGACTTTTTATGTTGAATACACTCTTGAATTTTGTAGTAAATTAGAAAGGATAATTTTTAATGGTAGATGACAATGAACTCTATTTCTAGGCATTTGTTCAGACAGAAAACTGTGAAGAAGAAGAAGTACAAACAGATGAAATTGAAATGCTTAACAAATGGACTCAAAATCCACCAAATGATAACTTAGGATATGGAGGTTGGTTAAGTACCAATATTTTTATGCATTTAAGTTTTAAAATTTATGTGAATTATTATTTTTGAAGTTTTGTCTTAAAGCATTGGTACTTTTTTTTAATATTATATTATGAAACAGTATTGTTTGTATTTAGTTATTTACTAAACATTTATTTGCAGGGGATAATGTTGGAAATATTATGAATGAGTCTGAAAACTGGAAATCGCTTTTTGCTGACCATTCAGTGAAATTGTCTAGTTTTTTACAGAGAAGCAGTAGTGTAGGTTATATTTAAATTTTCTTTTGTTTTACTTACTTTTTCGTAAGAGGAACGTAGGTGGTACGAGAGGCCACCTACGTTCTCAACTACAAATTTGAGAACTAATCATGTTTTCAAATGATTAGTTCTCAAATTTGTAGTTGTGACACCAACACAAAATTCAATTAATTTGTAGTTGAAAAATATTGCTTGTAGATTTGAATTTTATGTTTAATAAAAAAGAATATTTGAAAGAAGGCTGAGTATTTTATCTTTATATAACTACATGTGTTTTAATTCATTATTGTTAAAATTCAAATTCCATAGAAATAAATTTTTTTAAAAATAAGAAAATTTATTCAGTTATATGAAAAGTATACATAAGTATTAACTCTGCCATAATTCACACAACTGTGTGCCTATATGTAGCAAATGAAATATTCAGCAGTTAAACACAGTAAGAGTTTAGTAGTAATGTTAAAGAAAAGTAGTTAATATTTCTCTCTTGCCATAATGATATTTTTTCTGGTTAAATTGATTATTTTAATGAGCTGTAAAAATTGCTATCTAGAAACAACCTGTATTTTTCTTATGAAGGAAAAATTATTCATACTAAAAAATAAGTTTTGTTAACATAGTGCAAAAATATAAAAATAACATTAATGAGAGAAGAGATGAAATGTTATGTAACAGCATATATAATGCTATTACATTACAGCATTATATATGCTGTTATTGTTGTCTCAGAATACAAAAATCTAAAGCTAATACTATTCATGTATTACATTACCACCTATATGAATATATTATCAATCTAAGTAGTCCTGTATTTTCATCTCAGAATATAATCAGCCTTTACTGGCGTTTATTACGAATAACTATGTAAATTCTTTATTGAATTCAAAATTATTTTGTTGCATTTTCAAGCTTTTTAAAATTCTATTTACTTTTAAAATTTTGAATTGAATCATAATTTACAAATCAAAAATTTTAATTTTATTATGCTGTCTTTATAGATAAATCTTCATTAAGGAACCACAATATTCAGTGCTTTTAATGCCGAATAATTTATGATATGTATAACTATATAATGCATTGTTCAGAGACCTAAAGTCTAAGAGTGTTTATTGCATTAATAATAATTAATAATTTATTAAAACTAAGTATATTAGTCATGGCTATTTTTTGAAATTTTTTAGAATATAGAAAAATACATATATTGACTCATCATTTGTATTTGTTAGTAAGTTTTTAGCAAAGCATTATATGTTGATGATAAAGCAATAAGTAAAATAACTAATAAAATATTTTTATTGTAAATGATAGTTGAATAATATTAAATAAATCTGACCTTGTTAAAAGTATTTTGTATTTATTACTCCTTATTTATACTTTTTTTCACCAATGTTTTTATGTATTTTCATAGTTTTCAGCAGATGTACTAAAATTATTAGTGGAACTGAACAAAAAGTGGAATGAATAAATGATAATTGACATAAAAGTTTTTTGTTAAAGTTTCATAACAGTGCCATCCTCCATGAAGTTTTTAAATAGTGTTTATGACAATTTTTTTTTCTTTTTTTGAAAAGCGAAACATTTTACCATGTGAAAAATGAAACCTTTGCTAGTAAATAAAAAATATGAACTATAGTCATGCTGTGATAACTGTTTTGTTCATGTATTTCATACTTAGTTTTGACTGTAATTTTATATCTGTTATTTTTAGGTTATTTTAACACTTCTTGATGAAGAATTCCCACCTTTCAGTGCACAATCAAGCTCTCTCCAAAGAAGTAACTTATTTCTCAGTGATAGTTATAATATTCTTTCGCCTGTAAATTTCTTGAAAGGTACTTAAAGTTTATTTCATGTTTTTAAAATAAATTTTACTGCTGAGCTTATAAAGAATTGCAAAATCTAATCATTGGGAAATTTTTAGGAAAATAAAACTTTATTCTCCAAAATGATTCTCCATATTGAGGATTTGAACTATAACACATTTGTATAGAAATTTTTAGATTTTGTTGATGACATCTCTGAAAGGATAAAAGAAAAAAAAATCTTTTCTGAATTTTCTTTATCGTTTAAAAATGTTTTAGACATTTTTTGTCATTTTAATAAATACATATGAATATGCACATACTTGCACTTTCTTATATTTCTTCTAAAATAAGTTTTTATTAATTGTTCATAGATATTCCAGTAGTCAGTGTAAGTTGCTGCACTGAATCTGACCGTTTCATTATAACTATCCATGATAGTATGGTAAAAGTAAGTGCTTTTTCAAAATGAGAAATGTAATTATTATTTTGTAAAATGTTTCCTTACAATACATAAGTTTTGTTTTCCCTCTCTAAGTTATCATGCAGTGAAGATTTTATTGAAGAAAAAGGAATAATGTGTGTTTGGAATCTTTGTAATAGAAAGATGCCAGAGTAGTAAGGAATATGTTTTCTTTTGAAAATATTTGTTCCAGATTGCATATATTTTGGATCTAGTTAATCCTTTTTAAATAATAAGTATTCCTTTATAGCATTTTGATGGCTAATAGTCAACCAACTTGTGCAACTTTTGGTATGGGTAGTGATATTGTCATTGGAGGAATGGTATGCTTTTATTTTTTTATGTATTTATGTTACAAAAATATGTATATATATTCATTTATTTTTTAAATCAATGATTTTTTTATTTGATGAATAAAAAGTAAGATCAGTTACCAACTGACACATCTTATTAGAAGTATGAAATTTCTTATTTGCTATTATAATCAGATAAATTTTGAAGTGATACAATACTTAAAAAATAATACTATTTATGTCACTTAGATGCTTTTGAGATTAAACCATAAAATTAATTGTATTACTTGAAATTATTGAAAATTCAGATTAATAATAAATTTTAATTTATTAGTAGTCACCGGTATAATTGTATTAAAATTTTTATTATCAAACTGATCATATATTTAAATGATATGTATTGTATGTTTAAGAAAGGTAAAAAAATAAGTATAAATTATTTTAAATTAAAAAAAAAAAAACAGTAAAAGATTGTAACAAAAAATACTGCTTTATTTTAATTGCCAAATATGTTTAAATTTTACAAATGCATTGTTTACTTCTTTACATCTTTTGTTTTTGTTTTTAAAAGGGACTTTTTAAATATTTATTTGTTAATTTTTATATTGCAGTTGATCAGTATTTGTATCTCTGCATATGTATTGTATTGTAATGCAACAAACCTTTTTTTCCTTCAATCTTATGAAAGAAAAGGAAATGCTTTGTTTTAAAAAGTTGAATATTTTTCCTTGAATAAAATTAAAAATTAATAATTTTATTTCCTTAAGTAAACTTGAGTACTATTTTTCAATTCAAATTGTGAAAGTGAAACTAATATAATATAGTAAATGTAAGTTGTAGCATTATAAATGTATATAAAGAAATATAATTAAGTTCATCATAAGGCCATATTAAAACATGTACTAGTAATAAGATAGATTTTATTGTTATTATTTTTATTTTTAGTGCATAAGATTTTCTTTTTGTCAAAGATACAAGAATAACACAATATTTTATTATAAGTATGTTGAATTTTAACCTGTTTTTTACATACATACACTCACACACACACACACACACATATATATATATAGAGAGAGAGAGAGAGAGAGAAATAAAGTTACCCACCATGGAAAGATACAATTTTTTGAAATCTGTACAAAATTAAATGAGATAAACTAGTAGATGTGCTAAAAGCTGCAAATCAAATTATTTGTAAAATTTAGAAAGCAATAAGATAAAAAAAAAACTTACTTAAAATATATTGAAGTCACCTAAATTTTGTAACAACTTGTGCGATTTTAATAGATTTAATTTAGTTTATTGCTTTCTAAATTGCATATATGTGTGTATATGTATTATATATATGATAAAAATAAAATAATAATATTTTTTAATTCAATTATTAAATTTTCTTTTTTGATTTAAACCTTGTCTTACAATAATATTCTGTAGAAATCTTAGTATTCAAATAAAAGTAAGTAAAAACCATATTAAATCTATTGGAGAGGGTAAAGATAGGCAGAAGACCCTCAGATTCCATCCCTGTCAAAACTGTGATGGAGATTAGATTATATCTAAATCAAATATTTTATATAGTATTTTGTCTAAATTAAATAATTCACTCCAATCCATTAATAAATTTACATTGCTCATATGCCTTTCTTCTGATATGAAACTCTTTGATAATAAAGGTTTTTCTTGGAGCAATTGCTATGAAAATTTATTGAAATTATTCTTGATTCATCAATTAAATATTAAACTATGAAAATATGGTTAAATAATTTCTGATGCAACAATTAAATATTCAACATTATCTTTAAGGTAGATGGAGCTGTTATGCTGTGGGACTTGAAAGAAAATAACTCAAATCACTCAAAAGTAATTTTGAATGAACAGTTTGTTCTAAAGTCACCTGCATATAATACAGGTTAGTATCTTTTTAACCAGTTTAAATAAAATAATGTAATTTCATTACCTAATACATAAAACTAATTTTCTTTGTACATAATGTAATCTTTTTCTAATATAAATTCACTTTTTAAGAGGCATGTAGTTCTCACGTAACCTAAACTTATCATGGAAACTAATAAATACATGATGTAGGAATATTTGTTAGAAACCAAATGTTATTCCTTAAAAACTAAAGTTAAATATTATTGCACTCTTTCAACTTACTTTTATTTCATCTTCCTACAGTTCCTATATTGAAAGTACTTCTGAAATGTAAAGAAAAAAAATACAACTAACAGAATATGAAGTGAATTATTTTTACATAGAAATATTACTAATGAAATGAATTTTGTTTACAAAATCTTCCATTTTAATTTCCTTTTTTTCACTATTTCAATTTAAAAAAATATTCTTTTAATAAGAATGCTTTAATTAACTTGTATATTAATTTTTATTAGCTTCTGTTCTGGGAAATGAAAATCACAGCAGTTGTATTGTTGCTGTTAAAACAGTGTGCAAGTAATTATTTTTAAACTCTTTTTTAATATTATTTGTGCACTAAAAGTAAATGTAAAATTAATAAATGTATTTGAAACATAAATATGTATGCATGTGTACAGAAGCAAGAAAGTGTTTATATACAGAAATTTAAATTCTAAGTACATTCTAAGAGACCTTTTAAAATTATTTCATATTTTATGTAGAATAACAAAGATCCTGCTAAATATTAATTTGGATCTACATATATTTATGTTTTATCCATTTAAAAATAACATATGATTCTTAAAATATTATATATATATATATATATATATCTGTGTATATGTAATAATTATGAAAATAAACTACTTCTTACCAGGACACAAAACATTTTTTAAATAAAAAAAAGGAATTTAGCTGAAATTTTTAATTTATTAGTGTGGGCATTATAAACTAAAAATAATAAAACTAAAGTTTATGAAAATGAACCTTAGACTAAAAGAAAATAAATGAAAATATGTCATCATTAATTTTTTTCATTTACACTTTTTTTGTTAGTCCTGGTGAATAGTGGTTTATTTTCATAATTACATTGTTTACATAATCTTAACTGCTTTTGCACTTAATTTTAGTTTTGATTACCCTAATTTTCATCTTTAATTCCAAATTCATATTACATAAATTATATATATTCATATATATGTGATGAATAAATAGGCATCCTTTTCAATAGAACCTAGATCCATATTGAAAAGGAAGGTTGGTAGCCAAGTAAGATTAAATATTCAACTTTATTTCAATTGACATTTGCAGCCACAATATATTTGGCACTAAAATCATGTCTATTCAAGAACATTTACATTTTTGATACCCGTTATGAGAGAAAGAGAGCACAGTAACATAGCATTCAAGCGGCTGTCAGAGATAGAAGCAAAAGTGCACAGTTGTCCAGTATGGAGGCTCACCAAGAGAAGATTTTGTTTGAGGCTGTTTGTTAACAGAAAGGTTTCAGTTCTTGAAATTTTGAATTCAGGTTCTGTATTATCAATGTCATCAGCATTATGATATAGACTGACACATATATTGATCTAGAAATAGCTACGTGACATAGATTGATCTAGAAATGATGCAGTCCAAGTTATTACTATTTTTAGAATAGAGTGTAAATACCCAAATTAAAATTGAGGAATTAAGAGGCTATTGCTAAATTAAATTATAAAGCCGATTTACATATTTTTTAATCTTACATATATGTGTAATAGTTTGGAAGCGGTGGCTGTAATGAATTTGAGATGGTTTATTACATGGATGTAACTTAGAGATATTTTACTTCATAGACAGAAGGATGACACTTGCAGATAAACATATCTGTATATTTAATAAAGTTTTATTGTTGGATAAGGTAATTCATAAGGTGCATAATTTGATTCACATCATTATGGGTGCAATATGCACATCACATTTTTGAAATCTTAATACATCTTTAGACGGTGGATGACACAGAGAAGCGAATGATGCATGTTAGCAAAAGCAAAGCAAAAGTGAAAAAGGGACACATTCAGAAGAAGCATGGGAAGCAGAAGTCAAAAGTTTTGGTGTTTAGTTGAAACCTTTAATCTGATTGGCGATAATATACCTGCATTGTTTGGTTACATAAGAAAGCATGATGCCGATTAATTTTGAAATGTGGCAGTTTAGATTGATATGTCATGAATAGTTACTATTTTTAGAGCAGAAAGGGGGAAGTAGCGAAATTTAAATGAGGAATATGCATTTATGTATAATATTTTAACAATAAATTTAAACATTAGAAAAGTTATGTATTTAATTAATTATTGCTGTTTTTAATGTGTGGAAATATATATATATATATATATATATATAATCCTGCTTGCGTACAGACAGATTACTTACAACAATGATTTTTTTTAATTGCAGTAATTTAAAATAAGACCTGTGCTAATAAAACTGGTATGTACCAAAAAAGAAAACTTAATATATTTAAATTAAGGTCATTTTTAAGTTGCCTTATCCTTCTAATTTTACACAAATTTGGAATTTTTTGGCTTTTTTCAAAATATGTTTAAATTGCATAAAGAAAAGGGCTATCTTTCTTTGGCTATAATAGGTACTTGCACAGCCAGTCACCTAAAATATTTATTATAAAAAAGAAAAAGTATAAAATGATTTAATGAATCCAGCTAGTAATTAATAATGATAGTTGAAGAATTCCTTTTAAACTGCTTAGATTGTTAATCAGTAGCAGATTAAATTCGAAAGTTAAAATATCTTTGACTGTAATAAAAATGAAATAATGAAAGTTGAATACCAATACACTTTGCGAAAAGAATACACTGATGCACAGAAAATTAAAAGTATTTTATTTCAGGCAATAGCAACACATTTCTTTTTAATTGCTGAGTTTGCTGATTAAATCTGAAAGACAACAAGAATGTAAATAAATGTATTTTATTAGGTTTTGCTGTGTGGCAACACATCGCTTTTAAATTGCTTAATACATTAATCAAATTTCATTAAGTTTGCACAAAGCATAAATAAAAAAAAATAAAAAAATTCCAGAGTTCATGCTTTGAGATATTCCAATGAAGTATGTTGCATGTTCAAAATTTAGTGAAACTAAGTGCCACTATTTTTTCACAATGGGAGCAACTTATATGCATACATACATACAGATTTTTCATTATTTAATAATGGTGAATATTATTTGTTCTGAAAGTGCCAGTACTTGATGTTTTGGTTCTTTTGCCAAGCTTTTAGTCAAAGCAATTTTGATATGTTTTAAAGCTCTGTCTTAATTGTTTGTTTAAATTTTTATTCTTCTCTAAGCAAAATAAAATTACTATTTTTTTAAAAAAATTAGCTTTCACATATTCAGTGTTAGCAAACCGTGCATGAAATTAAAAAATAAATTCTGTAGAAAAATAAAATTTATTAAATATTTTAGCTTTTTTTTGTACAACTGTAGTGCATCTGTCTTTTATTTAGTTTTTGATAAGCCTTAAGGACTCCCCCCTCCTTGAGAAACTGAGTGATATAATGATTAAAAAGCAAAAATTTTAGTGGGAATCTGTTACTATGTTGTACCTTTTAAAGCATTTTTTTACATCTTGATCTTTTCAATGATAAATAAATAAACAGAACCTGAAATTATTTGGCAATTTTATCTGTTTTCAAAGTATCTTCTTAAAACGTATCAGAAAATATTTTGATGTTGATTTCTTGCATTAAGAAAATTTTAATTTTTTGTTTTTGCACAAACAAAAATAAAAGTATTTTAATTTAAAGATTGTTTATGATCATTTGAAATTTATTGTGAGCAATCATGTATTCCAACTATAATGCAATATTATCTTATACACTGTGTTTTATTACATGAGGTCTATTAACATTTTATTGTTTTGTTTTATAAATATATGATGTATAAATTTCTATGTTCTGAAGTACAAAATGGACTGAAGAAGAAATTCTCATTTACTATTCCAATAAAGCTGTGCACATTTGAAATTGTTTTATGCATACTTCTATCTTGAAATATAGTCTTTATTCAGTGCATGAAAAATATATACTTATACATTTATGTGAAAAATATTAATAAATGTCTTTCTTTCCCCTAGCTATGTAAAGCAAGATTTGGAGTCAGCTGTAGTTGAACAAAAAGGTAATTCTCAGATAATTCTTTCTGCTTGTAAATATGTATTTTCCAAATTACAGTTTTTCTGTCCTTTTAATTAAATTAAATAAAAAGTAACTTAATAAAGTATCATATACAAAATTATAATTTCAAGTAAATTATTATAAATCCAAATAGCAAGTTATTATCTTGAAAAGAGAAATATCAGTGTTGTTGTATCTTATTGTAAAAGTCTCAGCTTTAGTTGTATATTTAATATATTGTGTCTTAATTTGCTGATGACTTTTTTCATAACTGAGCTATTTCTATAGCCCAGTTATGTCATCTTTTAAATAATAACAAATTTATTAAATTATGATGAGAAAACTAATGTCATCTTTTAGATTACTAATTATGACAAAATTAATAAAACAAAATATAATAAACTGTGACAAAATTAATGGCATCTTTTAAATTATGACTTTATGAAAAAGTTGTGACATCTTTAAAGTCTCTTGCTATTGTTTAAATTTCTTACTACTATTTCACTGCTACTGGCCTTCTTTCTTCTTATAACACATTATGATAAACCATAAAATCAGATCAATGCTGTTTGCATTTGTTGCATTAAATTTTAAAAATGCCAGTAAGCTGAAAATCAAATTATTTTCTGAATTTATTCAACATTAAAATCAGTGATGATGCGGTGAAATAGGTTTTTCCAGTTTGCCTGTGCTATTACAAAATTGAAACAGGGGAGTGGGGTTAGGGAGAATATATTCTTTATTTTTGCCAAATTAGAAAATTCAAGGAACAGAACATAAATTTTGTAACTAACAAACGCAAAATATAATTATGGTGCAAAATATATTTTTTAAATCAATGTTTTAAATAGTTTTTATGATGATCGTCTGATTTCTTTTTGCATTCAGGTTAAAAGGGTGTTTTTTCTCAAATGTTTTTTATTAATCCTGTTTTATGATGTAACCTTATTTGTGTTCAGAATAAAATACATTTATGTATTATCAACCAGATTATATGAAAAGTTTCCATGTGCTGACTTTAGAAGACATGGGAGTTATCAATGTTTGGGTTGTTGTGGAAGTTTTAAAACCAGATATATCTGGTTTTGAAACTGAGCTTGGCTTAGCTCCTGGTGGAAAATTCAGATTAGTTAGAAGTTCATGTTTGCCTTTCTACCACCTCAGTACCTTGTAAGCATAATTTTAAACATTTGTTTTCCATTGAAAATTTAATATCAGATTTTTAATAATAAAGATTCTGAATTATAATTTTTACTTTAAATGAAGTTTTGAAAGATAACATAAATAAATATAGGAAGAATATAGTAATATACATAACAATTTTACTAACACATTTTATTTTATATGTTGTTATTTTTTAAATAATTATATCAGACTGTTCCTTCTTTAAACCACATATGCATGTCTATTTCACTGTTTCAGACAGCTAAACCAGAAAACTAGCATTCGAACTTTTGATTTTTGTTTAGTTCCTTCAGACCCCAGCAGAATTCTTGTTACAACAGATATTGTAAGTGAATCTTTAATTATTATCATCTTTTAAAAAAGAAAAATGTTTAATATATGGCCTATGAAAGTTTATTGTGTAATTATTCTTATTAAAAACCACTCTTTACCAATGTAATAGTGAAATGTTTGGAAAAGTATTAAGTGCTTTTTTACTTGGATGCATACTATTTATCTGAAATGCAAAAGAGCTTTTGATTTTGATTTGTTCTGGATACTGTTTATTGCTAGAACGTTTAATAATTCTTTCACATATTAAATACTAAAAGAAAAATTTTAAAATGTAATTCTGCATATTTTAAAGATTCGTTTGAGTATGTCTTTGAGTTTTATTTGTTTTCACATCTATTCAAAAAATATTAATTTTATTACTGTAACTTTAAAACAAATGTCATAGATTTTGTTTAAAGTAAAATTATGTTCAAAATATATATTAAATTGCTTGTATGACTTGACAAAATTTAAAAGTTACTATTGTTATTGTAAAGTTATTATTTTTGAAAAGATTTGTAAAATAATGCACTGTTTTAGTTCTGCACCATTTAATATTTAACTACACCAGGCTTGAAATTAAATGTAACTAAATTTAAACTACTAAATGTAATATCAGACTTGAAAGGACTGGACATAGAGCCCAAAATCATCTTATAATATTTTTACCACATAAAAGTGAGTAGAGCTTCTGGTAGTAGTATAATATGCATAGAATTCCACACTATTTCGATTTATTGATATCTACACTCATGAGCAAAATTAAAGAGAATTTGCACATTGTGTTGAATTTCTGAAAAACTAATGGACAGATTTTAATGAAGTTTGGTATGAATGTACATTTGTAACAGAGAAAGAGATGCACTATTCAAAAGTCATTTAATGTGGTCACTATTACAGGTAAAGCTCATATAGCAGAGATGTCCAAAATCCACATTGTGATATCAAACTGAAAACAAGTTTAATGTGGAGTATGGTCACCTGTCACAGACAGACAGGTTGCACAGCATGATGGCATACTGGACAGGAAGCAGTTAAGGAGTCCCTGTGGCAGTTGATCGCACTCCTGCAGCAAGGCAGTTTTTAACTCTGATTCCCGGAAGGAAATGGCAGAATGAAATTATCTTACCAAGATCATCCCAGACATGCTGTATGGGATTAAGATCAGCAGATCTGGCTAGCCCATCCCTGCAGTGAATATCCTCATTTTACATGTAATCATCGACTAGCTGAGCCCTATGTGGGCAGGCACTGTTGTCCATTAACATGAACTCAAGACTAACTGCACCCCTGAAAAGTCAAACATGGAGCACTAAGATCTCCCCTGTGTATCTTATAAGGGTCAGGAAGCCTTTGTCAAACACATTCAGCAATTTGTGGATGTCCAACATAATGCCCGCCAAATTCATTACTCCTCCACCACAGTAATGATTGTTTTCCTGATGAGGAAGAGATGATATTCTGTTCCAAACTCTCTCCAGATACAGGTATGCCAAGAATCAGTGTTCTTCAGAATCAGTTCTGAATTTTGACTATCTGTAAAATACACAGTGCTCCACTTAAGTCTGGTCCAAGACATATGTTGTCTGCAGTATGCTAAATATGCTATCTTGTGTGCTGCAGTGAGCAGGTCTTCTGGCATACTGCCCTATTTCATGAAGCCTTCAAGCAAATAGACTGTGAAACCCATATTCTGGTGGCAGCATACAGCTCACATGAGAGTTGTGAAGCTGTAGCAGACCTGTGTTGCCACACTAAAAGTGCCAAATAACAGTCCTCATTCATCATTGTGGATCTCAGTCAACCTTCTAAATATGGATTCAGTGTCCTGAAACTTGTTCCACAAATTGAAGATGACACTGGGCATTACATTGAGTTATCTAGCCACTTGCACTTGTGATTGTCCTGCCTTTAATCTTCGACAATTCTCCATCTTATTCCATTTTTCATATGTTCTTGATTACTCATTTTACCTGATATCTTATAAAATTTACCCAACTCTTGAGAGAAACATGGCGAATGTCATGAGGGAGTACAAGCATGCAAATCACTGAAAACTCCTCTTGCACTTATATATTCTCTTCACAATAACAGCTCCACAGACACACACATGTAGGCTTACATATTCAATTATGAATATTTGCATAATTTTTCAGTTGCATAACTAGTACCTTTAATTCAATGCTTTTCATAAAAATAGGCATAATTTGCAAATTCTCTGAATATTGCACATGAGAGTGTGTATTTATATATATATATATATATATATTATAAGAAAGTTGACTACAGGTCTCACTGCTTTAAATTAATGATCCTAGGCATGTATTTCCAATTACAAATCTCTCAAAATAAAGTAGAGAATTCCCCCCCCCCCCCGAAAAAAAGTTTCAATGTTGTGTCTAGGAAGGCTCAATAAAGCTAAAATTAAAATTTTTATATAATCCTTGCAGAATAAAAATGGCAGTAGGAAAATATTTATTTTGGTTTAATGAGTTTTTTAATTAATTAAAGCATCATGAACATTTCTTTTTTAATTGGAATATTTGTTTTGAAGAGATTGTGAGAAAAGTTTGAATTTTACTCCTACAGACCGGTTTCATGCACAACATATAAACAGTTTTTTTTCCACATGTTAAAGAACTTTTTATTTGAAAGTGTATATTTAGTATCAATATTGAAGAGGAAAAATTTGTATCCATGTGTGTATCCACTTGGTCTTTGTATTCTTGAAAGATTCTTGAAGTACTTAAATAAAACAGGAAGTGTCAAATATAAGTTGAAAACTTTTTGAGTTCTTGTCATTAAATTTATTTATGCTGATAAAATTTAATGTATGTAATAGTTTAAATTAGTATAATAGTATATTTATATTTTTTATTAAAATAATGATAAGCTTCCATTTCTTTAAAGGGAATTGTTCTTCATGCAACACGACATACTGGCATACCTGAACCACGGTTTTATTCTAGTGAATCAGGTGTGTTTCTTCAGTGAATGAAATTTAGAATTATTACACAGTAATAGTAATTTTAATTTATGGTATTAATCACATAATTGTTCATTCTTAGAATTTTCATCTGAAGTGCGTTGTATTGATTGTTCCCCTCATAATGAAGAGTTGTTTCTAGTAAGTGCATTTTATTTGATTTCTTTACATATTAAGATAGATATAAGTTTGCTTTCAGGCCTTAGAAATGTTTAGCTATCTGCATAATTAATGTAACAGTATGAAGCTATATCCAAGCCAGTTTCTCAAAATAAGGTAGGGAAGTTTATGAGAATAGTTTCAATACTACAGATAGATGGGAGGTTTCTAAATATAAAAACTACATTTTCATGTGATCCACATACAGCAGATCCCTAAATTCTTTTGGCTTTAGTATGTTAAATACAAAATGTTCTAGAATTTGATGTAATCTGAAGGTATTTAACCTTTCACCAGAAGGTATTTAAGAATAAATTTATTGACTCAGATCATTTTTCATTTAAGATTTTTAAATCAAAATTCAGGACATATACACTTAAAATTACTCATTTTAGCTGCTAATGGGTCTTTAATTGATAAAATAGCACTAATTAAATTTGTATCTGATGAGCTTATAAAATTATTACAGCATGTCTGTGAGAATTTAATACATAAAGATGTGAATCTTTTTCTGCTTTACTTGTAAAGTAAGCTAAATATTTTATCAATGGTATTTTTGTTTAAAATGTATTCAAATATCACATTGAAATTTTTTTAAATTAAATTCTGTTATCTTATTTAGGAAAATTTTATAACTCAAAGTGCATAAAATGTAAACATTTTTTATAATGAAATTGCTGCTCTGATAAGGTATAAAAGTATAAATCCAGCATACTTCATTGCACTTATGCTTAAATATATGTATGTATCTACCATATATAAATATTCTATAATGCATAATTTAGTTTTTCTTTTTTTTTTTTTTTTTTTAAAAAAAAAAAAGCTTCCTTATTAAAAATATGTGTTCACTATTATATTCACTGTTCTGCATTTAATTATATTCAGCTATATGTTATATTTTTCAGGTTGGTTGTAGTGATGGTATTGCTAGATTATATAATATAAAATCAGGTGATGCTTTTATTTTATTATTTTATTTATGCATTTTCATATACGGTATACTATTATTATAAATATAGATATTGCATGTGTTATATTTATTTCTGTTCACCTTCTGTAATTCTACAAGAATTATAGTTTTATATAAAATCATTTAAATAATAGATTATTTTTAATGAAATGAAATTGATGAGGCAAAGTGTATGACTTGACAGATTATTCATATTCTTTATATCATCATGGAAGTAAAGAAAAAGTTCATGTAGAAATTCTAAAAACTATTTTATTTTATATGATACAAGTGGAAGTACCCAATGGCAGTTCAGTTAGATTGAGAGTAATGTATTTAACAACAGAGTGAATGATACCACTGTAATCCTTCTCTAATAATGATGTAAAAATTAAGATTCATAGTCACACATTTTTCAGTCTGATACGATATGAAACCCACATAAAAAATTTTGATAGAAAAGTAAGCTCACTCTCTTTTATTATATAAGCAACAATGGCTTGCAGTTTTTAATGATTTTCGTCTTTCTAATCAAATGGTCGTAAAAGCTCAAATTCCATTCAATATTTCACCTATATACAATTTCAGTCGATGGTAAAAAATGTGACAAAAAATAAATCACAGTTAATCAGAAATCAATAATGCTAACAAACAAACACAAACAGATATTCTTCCTTATATATATATATATATATATATTTTGTAAAACTTTTTTTATTAAAAAACTCTACGATTTGAAAACAAGCAGTAGCAACACTTTTCCAAATAAAGCATTCTTATCTCCAATGCATGAGACTGTTGCCACTTGGAAAAACGAGTGTTTTCATGGTTTTTAATTAATATCTCGGCTGATTAAAATCGTACGAAGATAGGAATAGTCGGAATGGCTTCCCATGAATTTTTGGAATCTGGAATAATGTATTTAATCTTTGGCGACACTATTTTTATTTCATCGTAAAACTCAGAAATTATTTATTAACAAATCTATAGGATTTGAAAGCAATCAGTGGCAACAACTTTCGAAATACAGCAGATTTTCATTTTCAGCTTGCGAGACTGTTGCCACTTAGAAAAATGAGGGCAAAATTATTGTTTTTCTGAGTTTTTAACGAATATCTCTGATTTTAGCTTTTTTTGAGGGGGGTGGATGTTGACCTTTTCCAGAACCCAGAAAAGAATTGCAGAAAGTTTGGTGACGATTAGAGGACAAACAAATAGACTTCTTTATATACATAGATTAGTTGGAAAATTACTTAACTGTACAGCCTTTAAATTCAAATATTAGCTCATAATAAACTTTATTAATTATTGCATGAGTGTTATACGAGATGTGGGGGACATTTGTTGATATCATTTTCCATATTTAATCAGAGTATTTACTCTTTCAACATATGTCTGACCTTTGCCAATTCATGCATAAATAAAGGTTCATTTTGAGATACCTTGTATATTTCTCATAGTATTTCAGACAAAGAAACAATATGCATAATAAGCATAACTATACAATGCTTGAACCCTTAATACTAATTTTTTCCTAAGAAAATTATCTCAAATAATAATTTTTTCATTTTAAAATTATTAAAATTTAAACATTTCGTAATTTTAAAATATGGGTGTGAATTGCATCTTTCTGAACAAAAAATTTAATAATTTCATGAAAAAAGAACAGCAGGTGATCATTCACAGACAAACATTACATATATAATATAATAGCGCAAATTTTAGTTACCTGAATGACTATCAAGCATGAAAAAATTGGTTAACTACCAATGTTGAAGTGTCATCTGTTCAGGAATAATGCATAAAAAACAAACCATATTAAGGTAGTGCATACAACTACATTTTTCAAATGGTCTTACAAAATTTTCATATTCTGTGTTCAGTTATACAACATTTTCTTCATTTTTTTTAAATGTAATTTTCAGCTCGCCCTGTGATGGTATTTCTTCAGGTTGCAAAAGGTGATCCTGTGACTCTTTTGCAATGGTCACCTATTCATCCAGTCATGTTCTGTGCCCTCAGTTCATCATCATCATCATTATACCTGTGGAATTTAATGGAGGATTCTCTCCATCCTATCCAAAGTTATCATTTTGAAGATTCAAGGTAGAAACAATTTCATACTTTATAAATGTGTTACCATAAAATTTAAATTATACAACTTCAGGTGTTAACAATATTTATCTTTTGTTTATTTAAGAAATTAAAGTTTTATGAAACTGCCATTTTTTATCCCCACTTCTATTAAAACCTAATTGCAATGTTGATAATAAGAAGTAATGTATTAAATCTAGGCAATCAAAGATAATTGTTAAGTAATCATGTAGTCTGTCTTCAGATGTATGAATAGAAAAAGAGTCATAATAATTATGTAAAATACAGGTTGAGTGCAATATCTATATTTTATAAATTTCATCTTCATTTTAAACACAAAAATACTGAAAATATTTATAAATATTGTTACGTTTTTTTCCCTTCCTTTACATTTTGTTCATGGATTTGGAGTGAATAACAACGGCACTTGATGAAGTATCAAAACACATTTTATTGGCCAGTATTATTCAAGACAACTCCAAAGTCACATTTTACAGTCGTCAAAGATCTACTATAAACATGTTGGAACAATCAGCGACACAGCCTTCAGGCTATAATGGTGGAGACAGCTTCATGGCAAAGCACCAGAGTACAGCTCCCAACTCTGCTCGGTCATTCTTGGAATTCTACGTACTGTCGAGACTCTCCAAACCACATCTCACGATACACTAGAGCAGGGATTCTTAACCCTGTGCCCGCAAAGCTATTTTTGTGTGCCCGCAACTGCCAAAAATAACATTAAATGCAACTATTTTGAATTTTTTGTTACCTTTCTAATGTAGGGTATTGTTTATGACGCTTATGTTTGCAATAAAATAAAGAAATATTAAGAATCGTAATACTTTTTTTATTTACTGTGCCCACCACCATTTCCTGTTTGTCAGATGTGCCCAGATGGGGAATAAGGTTAAGAACTCCTGCACTAGAGTACAGCTCCCGACCCCTCGGTTCAGTCGTTCCTGAAGCTCAACACACTGCAAGATCAAACTCGACGATGCACCAACTCATGACACTCTCAATGTAGACTCTCAATGTATTCGGCGACTAACTCAGCACTAGATTTCGAGCACTCACTCACTGACTGACTATCAAATCGAAGGACTCTGCTCGGTCTAACTCTCCACATACCAGCAGGGTTTATACAGCTTTTGGCTCGTGTTTGAGAACATTCTGGGCTAAACCAGTAAGAATTCATTCCAGAAGGTTCTCCATCCATCTATGGCATATTGCCAATTTTGTCCCCAAATGATTTTTCGCCAGATATGGCAACCTTGCCATTTGCCATATCTGGCAACCCTAAACCTGTTTTGTGGGAAAGCTATCTTACTGCAGTTGGACATTTCGTAACAATATATAATAATAGAGACTATATTTTAAAGATCTTATAGGTTTATCTAATTTTCACCAGTATTCAGATTTTTTATTTTAATCTGCAAATTGCTGTACAGTTCTGAACAGAAAAATTGTATTACTTTGATAAAACTTAACAATATATGTGAAATTTCTTAAAAACAGAAAAGTTTTACATTATATTAAATTAAAAGAATAAAAAGTCGTAAGAAATTTATATAAATATACTAATTTTATATTTAGTTATGAATATTTAAAGCCTTTGTAATTAAATATGAATTTATTAAACAATTTGATTAATTAAGATATAATAACACGCCAAACAAATACTAATTCAGAAGTCAAACAACAAAAATCAGCATTATATTTTCAAATTTTCACAGGCCTAGTTTCGATGGTTTTTACTGAACCACCATCCTCAGCTGCAAAAGCGCAAATGAACGAGATAGGATATAATGATCGGATAAGATAAGAAAGCCTGGACAGAAAATAAGCTAGTGGCACCATCTGTTGATGAAACCAGAACTAAAACATAATTTCTTTAAAGGCTGAATTCAAAGATTCTGGAAGATGAACTGGACTTTCTAGAGGCATTTTACATTCAAAAAAAAATCTTTCTGTTCTAGTTAACGATTCTAATTCCAATCCAGTCCATCTTTGCCTTCGGCCTTTAAAGAAATTATGTTTTAGTTCTGGTTTCATCAACAGATGGCGCCACTAGCTTATTTTATCTCTAGGCTTTCTTATACAGTCAAAAGTCGTTAATCCGGACTCCTCGGGACTTCGGCGATTCTGGATTATCGATTTTTCCGGATTATAGATCATCGGTTTAAATTGCGTAAGATGGCATGCAGAAATTCTAAAATTAAAAATATGAAACCATAATTTATGAAATAAAGAAAAATTATGATCTAAAGGGTATTAAAATTTACAAAAAAAAGCTTAATATTTATTTGTTTACTTTACTAAACATTTCTTTTAATGTAAGTGGTTTCGTTTGATGTGATAATACTTTCTCTTTAATTCTATAAACAGACATAATTTTTTGTTCAGTTACAAAGTTCCGCTGTTCAAGTCCCGTTAAATTGCTGTGCCGAGAATACCGACTAACTTGTCAATCGAAATTTTTTTGTTTTCGCTAACATCTCTGTCACAATCTTCATGTCTTTATCCATTTTTTGCAGCAATTCCACTTTTTGTTTGACGGACATCGAAACATACTTTCGTTTTGTATGATCCTTTGGGAGCTCCAGATTCAGAAATTCTATTTGACATAATCGAAAGTTCAAGTTTACTTTTATAGTATTGCTCTTACAGTCTGCAAAAAATAATAAGCCGGATCCAATTCAAAAATTAAGGAACAACGCAATCATCAACATTAACTGAAATAGATAATTAGATAATTTTAGCCTATACCGTTCGTGATACATAAAACACGCACGCGAAAACGTATTCTGCGCATGCGCACACGCAAATGCGCAGTCGTAAGAGGTCTTACGCGCACGCGTAAACACCTATGCGCATGTGTCAACGCGGCGCATGCGCAGAAAGTTTTTAACTTTGAGGTCCGGATTATGGGTGTCCGAATTAACGACTTTTGACTGTATTATCTGATCATTATATCCTATCTTGTTCATTTGCGCTTTGGCAGCTGAGGATGCTGGTTCGGTAAAAATTATCGAAACTAGTCCTGTGAAAATTTGAAAATATAACACTGATTTTTATTGTTTGACTTCTGAATTAGAATTTGATTAATTATTCAATATTTTCAAGAAATTATGTAATTTCAGACTTATGAACATATTCTTAATTATTTTTTCTGGATTTCAGTTGTATTAATTATCAACTGTAAATTTTTATATTTAACACAAATCAGGAAAATGTTTACAATTCTGTGAATAAAAGCAAATTATGTGTACTAAACACAGAAACATAAATGATGAGAATAACTGAAGCAACATTACTGAACGTCATTTCTAAATCTAATGATAAGAATAATAGTATTTTCTACTGTTGTTATGGTTTACTTTTGAACCATGGAAACTCATAAAAACTGAAATCAAATCTTTCACAATTTTAAACTTTAATTCTTTTTTTTTAAAAAGGCATATTCAGTAGTTCTTAACAAGAAAATACAAGAGTAAAATATAATAATAAAATGAAAAATTTGGCATGAATTTCATCCAATCACTGGAAAGCATTAAAATCCATTTAAAACAAAAACAGTTTTAACAAATTTTAACTTTTTGCATTTGTATAAAAATTAAAATTTATTAATGTATAAAAGTTAAAGATTGTTTTGCTCATTGAATATAGCTATTTTTATATGATTAAAATATTTTCTCAATATATTATTTCTTTTATACAGGGTAACATGGCTTGCCTTTAGAAATATTGAAAAGAACTATGGTGATCAAACATCAGAGCAATTTTTGAACATGGTAAAATCATAATATTTTAATGTAATTCACAATTCAAATATTTTGGACTTGATGTTTATTTCTCTGACACATTACTTTAGTTTTATATTTCAAAAATATGATTAACAGAAAGTAACTTGTGTAATCACATTAATTAGAATACACAGAAATTATACATTTGACCCTGTGTTCAAAATAGCAGCACTTATGATTTAAAATTTAAGAATGAAAAGCAAGAAAAGTTACTTTAAATTATAAATAGCTTATATAAATTTCATAAAAGAAGTCATGTGAAGTAAAATTTTAATTCATCTAATAGTAGACCAGTAGTCCTTACATGAATATTTCAAGACAATTCTGATTTAAATCTTTTTTAGTCATTGGACATTATTTATATATTTATTTAATGGAAAATATGATGGTTACCTCTCTGAAACTTTCTGTTTCGTATAATCTTATGCTTTTGTTTTTTAAGCTATGTTTGAATTTTTATGCTTTTGGCTGTGTTTGAATATGTGAAAGTATTAAATACTAAGTTATAGTTGTATTAATTAGTTGTAATTTTTATAGTTCATTCATTTAAGTTGTAGTAATTTTTATACTTCATTACATATTTATATTTAAGTAAGTAATAAAAAAATCATTGTACCTTCTTAAAAAATTTACAACAGAATACAGGAATTATTTTTATAGTGTAAAATATTCAATGATGTACACGGCCTACAGCATTTTTATCATGTTTTTACTATTATATATTCAACCAATTTTTGAACATTTGTTTTAGCTTATTTCCAAAGAAAATGGTGAAGTTGAAGTTCATATGTATCAGGAGAAAGTTACAAAGGAGGAATATTTAAAGCAAATAGAGTATATGCAAAATCTGTGATCAAGTTTTATCATTAATAAATTAAAGTTATTAAATATATTTTTGAGAAATAAATTCAAATATTTAGAATTTTAAAACTGGTATTTTTTTCTTAAACCTACAACGTACACATTTTTACATTTTCATAATAATGCTGCCAATGTTATATACTTTTGATATAGAGAGTGTATAAAACATGATTGCTTGCTTTATTTTTTTGTTAATATTGGACATTAAATTCCAATTATTAAGTTTTCAAAATAAATCAAGAATTTTTTTTTAAATAGTTTCAAGACTAGATGTAGAAGAGCTTTGTAAATATAAAATTTAACTTTTTATTTGGTCAACAAAGTGCAAAATGTCTAATAAAACATTCATAATGCTTTCTAACTATAATAAATTTTGTACCTTTACATGCAAAATGTTCAGATATAAGAGAATGAATTTATGATTTAGATGACTTTTCAACATCAATGAGGAAATATACATAATTTTTGCTGATATGTAGAAGAAACTGAAGTAGATTTTTGTAATCATTGTCCCGTATTGAATAAATATTTATTATTAACTTTAAGTTGGTTTCATGAAATTATAATAACTCCTTGAATTTTTATATGAAGCTATGACACTTTTTCTGTATTTAATTTATTAAAGCATAAACATTTCAATAATCTGACTTTTGTTCTTTGGGGATTATATGAAAAAATAAACTGTGTATTTACAGTTCTTCTACACCTTGCCGCTTAGCTGTTTTCATAAATTTTGCAGTTGATGCAGCAGTGGCTTTATGTACACTGCACCAAAAAAAAAAGATGCTAAAATGGGGGATTTCATACACCTTCTATTCTCTTTGCAGTGAGCAGTGGCTTTATGTACACTGCCCAAAAAAAAAAAGGGGGGGAGAACAGTTCTATATCTCTGGTTTTAATGGGCTAATTGACGAAATTCAAATAGCGTTTTTCATGTCTTGAAAGCGCGACTTAGGATATGCATTAGATTTATATATAACGTTGCTCTAATATATGTATTTTGACAGAAAATCTGACTTTTTCTGAAATGATGCCAATTTTTCCCATATTTAGACTCTACAACTCAAATTATGCCAAACTACCAAGTTTTGTAAAACTTGCACAAGTAGTTTTTAAAAAATTAGCTCTCAAAATTTTAGCTGCTCAATGTTAATTGAATTTGATATATATTTATTAATATATATTTTTTTTATTAAACTTACTTGATTCCTTCTAGAATTCAAAATTTAGGCTTAATCTAAATATAATTCACACATTTTTTATGGTTTTCGTTTTACAGTTTGTAATTTTAAATATTTTTTATAAATTTTTCGAAAACATTTTTGTTTGTTGAACCTATGCATTTTTTTATGTCATCTTAAAGTAGATGTATTTCTAGGCACATCTGCAAAAAATTAGTTTTTTATTCAAAATTTTGTAAGATATGCATGAATTTACATATGGGAGAGTGTTGAACTTTGGCATCATTTTTTGAGTGATAATAATGCCAAATGTAGTTTACGCACCTTGTAAAAATTAACTGAAAGTATGAATACCACATTTATAGTACCGATTACAGAAAATTATTGATAAATGTTAAAATGATGATTAATAGCATAAAATTTATTGCAAACTTAAATAAATGGGTAATAAATATTATCATAAATGATATACTTATGTAGCATATATAAATAAAAGTGAAAACTATGTGCAGTAAGACATTGTCATCATTAAATTAAGTAATAACAAAAGGTGTGCACAACTCCACCACAACTTTATCCCTAATAAAAATGAAAAATTTTGATGTTTTGTCTTAAATCTGAAGAGATGATAGATACATCACAAAATTATTATAATAGTATTATACATACTTTTAAAAGATCGTAAAACAATAAAAGCTATTCTTTTTTACTAAAGCTTTATATCACCAATGAAAGAATTATCCATTCATGCATGCGACATACGTGTATTAATGCATTGTTTATTTTTAGTGATGGCCAAGATTTTTATGGAATCACTATACTGATTTAGTTTGCCCCCTTCCCAGTATTTATATTGTTATAATATTTTACATTACACTGCATAAATTTTTATTTTAGTGCCAAAGAAAAAAAATATATGCTGTTAAAAAGCTTGCTAGAGACAGGGGAAAATATTTTGGAAAATAAATTACTTGTTTTACTGTGTTTAAAAAGGTATTCATTACTTGTTACTAATATTTGGCAGCAACATGTATTCAATGATTACTCATCTCATTACTATCACATTCATAAACAAGAAAATAGATATATAAATCAGTTTTATGCAACATTGTAGCTACTATTTAATTTCAGAGAGAGAGGAAGGCTATGACTTTTATTTAAAATCAATGTTTTTGTTGCTGTATTCTGTTTATAAACTGATATTTCAGCAGCCCCTTCAGCTTTACTCTAAATATGGCCATGATTTTATGCACCTAAAATTTTATCAATAATAGGGAAATTCCTTGACCAGTATCTCATGAAGTAGACCTTGTCTTCCACAAATAAGTTGCTCCACATACTTTATCTCCCCCCCCTCTATAATATAATTTATACTTTATTTGATGCACTTGACAGTCTGTTTGCACTTTCTGACAATCCAGAACAGTTAGTTTCACTTCAAGTCCCCTTTTGGATAATAACATGTGCTTAAGCAATAAGTTTATAGAGTTTCAGTTTGTTGCTGTTGTCATAAATTTCATCATCCCCACTTTCATCTTTACTGTCACTAAGCACTAGTATTGAAAAAAATATTTCTTCAATCAGCTTCACTAAGTGACCATCATTTTCCATAATATACACTTTTCCACTACTTGTTTTATTTGTATAAAACCACATAAACAGCATGAAATGTGTAAGCAATGAGCAGTTAACTTATTTCCAGAGGTGGAGCCACCAGACTCTGATTGAATGCATAACACTGCTAAACAACAACACAAAGTTGGTCATGAGCAAATCAGTCATTTTTCTGTTTGTTTATGGCTCTTTACCATACAGACAGCTAAATTTCTATACAAATAAAGCACCTGCCAACTTCTATGAATGTGAGTAAGAAAATAAGATGCTAAGAACACTTAAAAAACTATCTGTAAACATATATATATTATTTTATTTTTACATATATTACAATAACTATAAAAATATTGCATTTTATTACAAAACATATGTGCCATTGCTTTTATAAAAGTAATGTTTTTACTTGCTCTGGTGTTCGTGACAGTAACAGCTTTGGTTCAAGGTAATTATTGCTTGGAAGATTTACAGCTTCATAGATCTGACTGTATGCCTTACACAGTAATTCCATTGATCGCTTTCTTAAAGTTTGTCTGTAATAAAAGATATGAGTTATAAATTTGTGAATGAATTATCTAAAACAGCAAAAATATATAATTAAAAATGCCATATTTATTTGCATATCTGCGCCCCCTTTCTTGCTAATTATACTGCTTGAAAATCAGAAGGCGAAAAAAATGTGGTGTATACTATTTCCAAAGACATAGCTTAAATAATAAAAAAATGCATGTAAAGACACACTATTATTATTATTATTATATTATGTATTTAAAGGATTTAACGAATTCCAATAAATTTCCTTTTACTATACAAAATACTTTTCTACTTGTGCATGTATTTTACAATGTTACCATAATCAGAAATTTCTAAATCACATGCTGAAAAAACTAGGGTAAAAATTATGTCAGAGGAAAAAATATGTGAATAGATATGGTGTATCTACATTTTTGCCTCAGCTGGTGCTGAAATCTTCCTACCATCAAAAATGGGCATATCTTAGAGTCTCAAACCAAAATAATAAAAACAAGTTGATTCTTGCCCTAGAGATGGCTATTATCATTTTTTAAAAATCAGACTGTCTAATCATTGACATTTAATGAAAGTTACATGATTTAACACAGTCTGTCCAATAACTAATAGTTGTCAAATCTATATATCTTCAGAATATAGAATTGTGTCCTGTTCTTTAGGCAAAAATTTTTCATTACACATGTATGCATAAACATCATGGAAAGAATATGGCTTATGCCACATCACACCATAACTATTGAAAGACTCCCACCATAACTCTCTCTATGAAGACTTGCTATGCTAAAAACTTAAGCATAAAAATTTGTTTAAAATCCAAATATATTAATTTTCAAGGAAATGAGATAAGATAATGTACCATTTTAATAAAGGTTTAAAAATAAGTGACAGGAGGAATTTATTTTTTCTTCCCTCTTTCATGTAGACAAATTAAAAAAAAGAAAAAAAAATTTTTTTTTCAAAGTATAGTTTCAGAAATATAATTTTTCCCATCATATACAACCTCAAGAAAAACCGAAAATAAGAGGCAAAAGTTATAAATTTAAAAAAATTAAAATGTTATAAAAATAAATGGAAATCATTACCTTAAAGAAGCTGACAGTAATAAAATACTCTGTGGTATTGTCAAAGAATCAGGTGCAGCTAAAAAGCTATCAAGTTTTTTCTGAAATTAAAATATAAAAATGATAAACTGAATATTTACTGTACTACTATACACAATACTTTATGAAGCAAAAAGTATTAATCTAGTCAACTAAAATAAAATTAATCACTTAATCACAAACAAAGTATTATTTAATAACTCCAAATTTAAATCATTGTAATATTTAATGGTACATAGGTATTATAACAACCACGTAGAATTGTCAAATTTTCAAAATATGCCACATTTTTGTATGCATTCCTTTTGTTGTTTTCCCAGTTTAAATGGTTTCTGTAGACAAATCTTCATATTTTTTTCTTTAAACTCAATTTTAAAATAAGTGCTTGTGAAATTTGCCAGCAATGGAATAAATTGAAGTACAGTTCCGTAGGAGTATACTATTTTGCTGCAAAATTCTAAAGGAAATAATGATGAGATGCATTTGGTAGATAGTTGGCAGGCAATGACGAATTTGTGCAATTTTCTGCAATTCAGGGATATTTTTTTAAATGAAAATAGATTGATGTCTACACAGAGAGCAGAAAACTAAAAAATAATTACTACAGGAGTTTGCAAAAAAAAGTACATGTTCTATTTTTTTATGTATCATATAATCCTTATTTAATAATTAAAATTTGCATTTTAAATTACTTAAGTGTATTTTGTTTGGATATGTTGATAATGTTTGCTCACTTACGATAAATATCAATAGTTTGGCAATCTTTTTGAAAAAAATCACGAAAATCATCAAATAGCACTAAGGTGATTGTGTTAATACGTAAATACCGATTTAATAACAACACATTTAAAACAATGCAGCTCATCAATACAAAAAAGGTTTTGATTTTTTTTAATTAGTTAATTTTCAAATAAATGTTTTTCTGATTAAAGATACACATAATTAACCTTTATAAAATTAAAAGTTCACGCTGATTTCCTACTGTTTCAAACTCATTCTGCAAATACTGTAAAATTTTAATGAATGTATTTAAAAGTATTAGGGAAAATCCATGGAATAAAATCTTCAAAATTTAGAAAGAAATTTTCTGAAGTGCAATGAATTAAAATGTACACAAAGAATTCACCAGTTTTAGTTAACTCCATTTACATTTTTTTATTACAGAAACTAATAGATCAATAAATAAAAACATATTGAAAGTAATACGATTCAATTTTTTAAAACCACAACAAAAAAATATTAAACAAAGTAATCATGTAAAGTTAGAAAATTTAGAGCCAGCTATGAAGCGATCTAATCAAATGATACTCATGCTATTTCTGAGATAATTTGAGGTTTCTGTTCATTAAAACTATGCCATTTAATTTCAGCACATAATTTCTTTCATTTTAAATTAATTAAAATTACCTGAGAGATAATAATAACTAAATTGAGGAAAGAATATATTCAATTAAAATTAAATGAATTTATTTAATGCTTCTTTCATTAACATAAATCTATCCAATAAATAATTTTTAAGATGCATTCAGTGTGATGGAGATAACAGTCAAAACCTAAATGAAAATCGCAGAAATTGTAATTCACAGAAAATATTAACTGTGTGAAATCTAAATGCTTTTTTTAGGTATTTCAAGTCTTATTAGAAGAAATGAACAGAGCCTATCAAAATATTTAATCACAGAAGCATTAATGTGATAAAACTATGATTTATGATGAACCAATTTTACTCTTTAATGATTTAATGGTGGCTTTAATGACGGTTTTCAGCTAAATATTTTAATGACTGATCTTGAACACCATATGCCTTTTTATAACCTTTTCTGTACGCCTACATATAATTTTAAAAGAGTTTCATTTTTTTTTTTTTTTTTTTTTTTTTTTTTTTTTAATGAATCAAATTGAAATAACTTTCCCAAGAACTAAAGTTTTTAGCCCAAAAGGGCTATTAATCTCGTTTTGGCATTTTGCATTGAAAACTTTAAATATCGGTTCACTTTTCAAACTGTTGCCACCAAATATTACAGCCCTTTACTAAACATGTATGCATGTTTCTCACACTGTGATAAAACGACGGTACCTAGAGCCATCAAATTTTGAATAACGTATGTTTCCACCCAAATATGGGCATCTGGAAGCCCAAATCTAGAATCTGGAATTTGTTTTATTATCCATTTCACATTTTGTGAAACTTGAACGAATTTTTGACTAACAAACTCTATGATTTCAAAGTGAGCAATGGCAATACTGTACAGTCTGCGCACTGGAGATAAAAATGTAAAAACATTTTTATCTCCAGTGCGCAAGATTGTGTATCGTAAATTCTAAAGATATGCTCATTTTAAAATTATTTTGCGATATTGTTGTTGAACTGAATTTTATGGTTTAAGTGCGAAGAACATGATATATAATAAATAAAGGTAACATGCAAACCGTTAAAAAAATGTTTCAGATTTTTATATTTTTTCTTTTTTTTAATTATAAGAATAAAATATTATACACTAGGCAGCGCTTAATGTGATCACATTTATCCATGAATATTTTGATAACATTAAACAATGAGAAAAATGCCCTTTAAAAGATCAATGTAACTTAACTAATTTAATGTAACTATAATTAGAAACATATAAACAGTTTTCATAGCATTTTAACTAAGGAAAAGTCATTAATAGTAGATAGTTGGCAGTTGTTATGCAAAAATTCATTTATGATGCTTTTGGAAATTGTTTGACCGAAACTGTCACCCTTATCTTAATATCTGGATGGCATCCCTCATTTCAATATTTGTAAATTTCGAATCTTCAGAATATTTATAGCATAATGTGCTTTGATTTTTTTTCAGAAAGCCACTGGCATATGATTTTCTTTTTTTAGCTTCCTTTGTTTTATTATTAAAAAAAAAAAAAAATGTCCCACTTCCAACAGTTCTTATTTTCTTTTCTAAGATGCTGCTCCAAGACAATATTCAGCAAAATGTAGCAATCAAAAAGGCAAGTTTCCCTTGCCAGTTATTTGCAGCACTTATATATCCAAACTACTATGTTACAAAGGACACTTAACACTGAATGCACGATGATATTCTTTCACCACTTTAACAATTCTTTGATCTTAGGATTGAATTCAAAATGACTGTTTGGTGACTTACAATGCAATGTTTCTGGGTCATTTAGCAATTTTATGATTTTTTCCCTGATCTTATTTGATCATTTTATCTTTTGTTTGATGAAATTACTTCAGTTTAAAAACTCATTTTTTAATATTTTGATTACTTTAACTAACCTGTTGATTAAAACGAGTTGTATTTTCCATGTTTTTCATATGCAACTTTCCATGTTTTCAAATTCAATATATATATATATTAATTTTGGTGATCATCAACGTCCAATGCTGAATTAGAATACCAGGATTATGACGTCATCAGTATAGCATCACCCAGCGCAGTAAGAATCATCCCAGACAGCGCTGAGACCTGGTCGAGAGTGGAGGGCAGACGTGAGCAGACGGCTCACACGTCTTCAAGAGTTTATGAACTTAGATTGAGCTTTTGATGTTATGCCTTTAGGTGTAAAAAAACTGTTGGTGTATCATTATGTTAATCCTGCATACCGTTAACTTCATCTTTATTTACTTTTCTTATTTACTTTTATTTCTTTCTATTAAATAAACCATTTAGCTATTACTTCGTGCTCTCATGCTGTGAATTAAGTCAAATTCTACAAAAAAATATGGCGACCAACCGTGCGGCTAGAATTCCAAAATGTGCGAGTAGTAGAACTGTGCTTTGAACTGTGAACTGAGTGAACTGTTCTCACAAATTATTCAATTTATTGGATTACTCGTATAAAGGATTACTCGTATTGGATTACCCAATTGACGACGATCATCTGTCGGGTGAGTACAAAACTTTCTTTCCAATATGAAGTTAGTAGAAATTCCAGAATTGGAAGCAGCTTTAAAGAACAGTAAAAGTTCTGAAATCAAAAGTTTGCATAAGCTTATTTATAATACTGATGGAGATCGAAATAACCGGAAAAGATTACGTGAATTTTCTGGCTTTATATTTAAACCAGATTCTGAAGAATTTAATAAGAAAATAGATACAGTGCAGGTTAGTTTTACTTTGAATGAGTTAATTAAAGTTTTCAATGTATTGTGCATATATTCAGAAGGTTCAAAAACGGAAGTCGTAACCCGAATTGTCTCTTACCTATGTGATTTATCTGTATTATTTGAAAATATTTTGCATGAAGAAAATAGTGATATTGAAGATGAAAATATTAATATTTTCTGAAGTAATGCTTGATGATAATCAAAGAGACAATCCTGGTTTTAATGAGTCTCAAGTAAACAACAGTATGCAGCTTCCAATTCAAGATCATTTTAAACCTCATCTTAGTTTTTCTGATATTGAAAGTATTGTTAATCCTTTTTCTGGTAATGCATATGAAAATGTTGATAAATGGATTGATGAATTTGAAGACGTTATAAATTCTTTGAAATTAAGTGATTTGCATAAATTAGTTTTTGCTAAAAGATCATTAAAAAGTAAAGCGAAACTATTTATTCAGAGTGAAACTAAAGTTAATGATTGGTGTAAGTTAAAAAATCTTTTGAAATCTGAATATGGTAAAGCTTTTAATTCTGCTGAATTGCATGAAATGTTATGTAAACGTAAATTAATGCCTAATGAATCCTTAGATGAGTATTTTTTGAAAATGAAAGAAATGTGTTCGCGAGGTAACATTGAAGATGCTTCATTAATTAAATATGTTATTGATGGTATTCCCGATTCTGTGGTTAGGAAAACTATACTGTATGGTTGTGAAACAATATCTGAATTTAAACAAAGGCTTAAAATTTATGATAAAATGAGATCGGACAATGATAAGTTTAAAAATCCGAAACCGAAAGTAGACACTCAAGTTAAAGATAGAAGTAAGCTTTCGTCATCAAACCGAAATCAATCTAACGTTAATAAGGTCAAATGTTTTAATGGCCAGGAATTTGGGCATTATTCTAAGCAGTGTGTAAACAAATCAAAGGGTGTAAAATGTATAAAATGTAA